AAGTTGCTTAAAAGAATGAATTTAGACTTTTTAGAGATTTATAAGTTAAATTTATGCTTTGAAGATATATTTTGTAAGATAAGGCCATGAATCTTGTAATATATATAGGTTTGTTTTATACTATTTGATGTACTCTTTCTATTATTTTTCTTTGTCCTACTAAAAAATATCTATTTTTTATTATAATAAAAATAATTTATATATAAATATCAAAATATTCATAACATTTACAAAAGTATTCACCATTTTTTTTTGGGAAGGATAAAAATGTCATAATCATCTTAAATATTTTCATTAATTAATAAAATATAATTATTTTTCAATCTACTACAGAAAACAAAAGAGATATTTTAAATTGAGACGGAGGGTGTATGATTTCTATTATTATTATTACTTCATCCGAAGAAGTATCCATTTGCTTTTTACACGTAGTTTTAGAAATATTAGTATTATATTGAGATATAGTAGGAATAAAGTAAAAATGACTAAAATAATTTTATTAGTATGTATGATATAAAGGTAATGACATTTATGTAATATATTATAAGTTGTAAGGATATTTGTAATGTAGGTAGATAGTACAATTACTAAAAAATGAAGTGGATATTTTGTTATGGGACGGACTAAAATGAAAAATAGATATTTTGTTTTGGGAAGGAGGGAGTATTATTATACAATTTCTAACTTATCCTTGATATACATCAAATTATATAACTATTTCATATAAAAAAAAACTAAAATACAAATGATTTTGTTTATTTTGATTTTTTTTCTTTAATTATAGAATTATCACAATTTTTTTATAAAAATTAAATTACTCTTTTATATATATATATATATATAATATTAAGTTCAATTAATAACAAGTACAAAAATAACACGCCAACATAAAAATAAAAAGTAAAAAAAAAAAAAAACTTCATTTGTAATTTTTCCCTTTGTACTTTTTAACAAAGAAAATAATTTGTAATTAAGCAAATAACCATTTTTGCATAGGGCGTTATCAATCTCACCCTACACACCAAACAACCTCCTAAGATGGATTTTTAAAATAAATTATAGAGTATAATTTATTTTAAATGAAATTATATTTATTTATATCTATATATATTATAATTATATAAAAAATAATAAAATAATTTAGATATTACATGTAAAATAAATTATAAAGGCTTAGTAGAATACATAACATGTCATTTTCTTTTTTAAAAAAAATGATAGTTTAGAATACTTTCAATTTTACAATATCTAAAAATATTTTATGAAAATAAAAAAGAAACTAATATTTTTATAGAAATTAATCCATATAAAATAAAATTTACTTCGACATCTACTTTTAATTTATATTTATGTTGCCCTTAATGAACACATAAAAAACAAATGAGTATATTAATATTTAATGGACATGTACAATATTATTTTATTTGGTTATGATTCGAAATTAATCTTAAAAAAACGTTGATTTAAATAATATATTGATGTAATATTTTATCTATAAAAAAATTATATTTTTATTGAAATTATACATGTTGAATAGTAATTTATTTTTTTGTTTTTGAAATAAAAAACCAAACAAACACACCCTAGGTGTATATGGAAATAATTGTGCTTTAATTGCAAATTAATCAAAGCCAAACTATGTACCCATTTGTAAGAATCTTAACACATAGTTAGGCAAATTAATTAAAGCCAAACTAATTGAAGACTTAGCTTCGTTATTTTTTATCCACATATTATAAACGGGCCTTGACCTTTGTTTTTTTTAAATGTATTTTACTTTTATTTTCGTAATATTTATATATACTCCCTCCGTCCCATAGTTATATATCCTTTTAGTTTTTGCACGGAGTTTTAGAAAGATTAATATTATATTGAGATGTAGTAGGAATAAAGCAGAAATGTCTAAAATGTGTGATATAAAAGTAATGATATTTGTGTAATATATTGTAAGTTGTAAGGGTATTTATAATGGTAGGTAAATAGTACAGTTACTAAAAAAAAATGAATATTTTATTATGGGACAGGCTAAAATGAAAAATGGATACTTTGTTATAAGACGGAGGGAGTATATATATTGTGTAATTGTGTGTGTGTGTTTTATTTTTTTTTAAGGTAAATTATATAATATACCCTTGTGTTTTAGTAAAAATGCACATAACATCATGTGTTTTATTCACGAAATACCCTCCTTGTCCAAAACTGATCACGTAAATTACGTAAGTTTTATACAAATAAAAAACGTAAAATATTTTAAATAATTTTTTTAAATAAAATAAATAAATAAATAATTTACCATTATTTATTTTTATAATTTTATAAAAATCAAATAACAATTTGTTTTCAAAAACTATAAAATTAAGGATTAATAAATTATTTATTTATTTATTTTATTCAAAAAATTATTTAAAATATTTTGCACTTTTTATTTGTATTAAACTTGTATAATTTAGGTCTTTATTTAAAATCAAATATCAGTTTTGGACAAGAAGGATGTTTTGTGCAAGTTTTACATTAACACAAAGGGTTTCACGCAATAAATAAAATACATAAGATTTTGTGCATTTTTACTAAAATATAAAGAGTTATTATATAAATTACCCCCTTTTTTTTTAATGGGTTTAAGTGTTGAGTTTTGATTTGAAAATAATCAATTCTTGATTTAAATAATTATTTAATTTTATATAAATATATTGATGTAATGCATTTAAATGTAAAAACATTGTTTTAACATAAAAATTAAAAATAAGTATTTGGTATAATTCTTTAAATTATTTTTTTAAAAAAATAAAAATTAAATTCAAAACCTACAAAAGAGTAAGTTTTAATTGTAGGTGATTTTAATTCAAATTACCCATGTGACTATCACGGGCGTCAAAGAAATAAAACAATAATTCTGCACTAACATCTACAAATTAAATGTTAATAAACACCGTGACGACGACTTTGTATTATTTATTAGATATATATTTAATAAAGTATTAAATTCAATATTTATTTTTCTTATCTAAATCTCTCTGTTGAAAATATATTATATTTAAAATATTACGTTCGATTTTCATTCTCATTTAAAATTTTATAATAATTAACTACAATTAGCACACTAATCATTCTATAATATAAAAATATTAATAAGAATAGTTAAATAAAAATTTATATTAGTGTATAAAACATTCAATCACACATAACGAATCATTAGAAAATATTTTAAGTGTCAAGAATTTGTACATGAAACATAACTGAAATAATAAGTTAGTTCACCTTGTTTTCTTTTTTATACTCTCTCCGTCCACAAATTAATGTTCTATTTTTCTATTTGGAACGCCCAACAACTATTGTCCTATTTTTTTCTAAACACAAATTTTACATTTTTACCCTTCATTCATTTATTACTTTTAATCTCTACTATACAATTAAGGGCAAATTTGTCAATTCGTAACAAAAAGACAATCACCTAAAAAACCGTGCAATATACTTTAGGACAATAGAAATTGGACGGAGGGAGTATTATATATGAAAAATTGTATTAATAATATTAAAAATAATATTTTGAATTGAATAATTGACTTTTAGTGAATAAATAAAATATATTTTATATATTATATTTTTTAATAATATCTACTACAAAAAAAATAGTATATTTGTAACGGAATTCCGTCATTAAAGATCACGTAGCTAATGTAATTCCATCATTAATTCCGTCTCTAATATCATTAGTAACGGAAAAAGTGAATTTAAAGACGAAAAAATCCTGTTACAAAAATGATATTTTCTTGTAGTGATCTCTAAAGAATTATTTTTTTTAAAAAAAAAAAACACAGAAAGTGAACAAATCAATACTTAAATAAACTTATTTAAAGTTAATGTGATTTTTTTTATTATTATTTTTTATTTTGAAATAACTTGGTTAAAGAATATATTTAGAAAAGACAAGATAGAATATATTTCAATCTATTTATTTTTTTATTTTTTTATATATATTTTATTTACTCACTAAAAATTTAATAAAAATATTATTTATTTATTTTTTTTACAGCAGCACGATTTATCATATCTCCATAAAAAAAAATAATAAAAAAAAAGAAAAAATAAAATTCATTCAAAAAATAAAAAATACTAAGTGGCTGTGGGCAGTCCTGCTTTCTTCTTCTTCTTCTCCAGCGACGGGGCAGTGGCAGATAGTCGTAGCGGCTGATTACATATTGATTTATTTTAAAAAATAAAATTAATAATTGCCTCCAAAATTTCGAGGCCATTATATATTTATTTAATAAAATTAATAATTGCTTCTCACGCTCTATCACTCTAATATATATGGCTTCGAAAATTCGGAAGCTTTTCGAAATAGTTTCGGAAAATTCGAAACAATATAAATGACAACGAATTTTTCTCCTCAAGTATAATTTTAAAATAAATTCCAAAGTCAAAATTAATTTGCCTTTAAACCTTTTTAAATTTTAAAGTAATTTTTCCAAAGACATTAATAAATTCTGATAGTGAAAACAATTGTTTAGGTAATAATGAATTTAAAACTCATAAGGTATTTGAAAATTCATTTTTATTTAATTCAAATTCATTTTAGAAGCCGTCGTTTCATAAATCTGCCATACATGGTTCGCGTTAGTCGGAGCTTTGACAGTCTTGACATCACCAGCTCGAGGGGTCTTCTCGCAATTTGATCGTGCACTCTATTAGTTCAACCTATTCTAGAAATCCTCCATGAGATCGACGAACTTTCCTTTGCGTTCCTTTGGGCTTTCCTTGAAATTTTCATATTTTTTAAATTTTAAAAATATTGTATAATAGGAATACGTAATTTTTGAGACACTTCGATGGTCACATAACAAACTTAGAATTTTCGTACTATTTAAATATTAAATATATTATATAATAAAGTATCGAAATTCTAGAAATTCGTAACACTAGCCACATACTAAACTCGAAAGTTTTAAAATTATTTGATTTATATTATTTAAAGTATATTATAATAGTATTGAAATCAATTTCAATAACACATATTATAACTCACTTCAACACAAGATTTATTAACACAGAACATATAACTCACTTCAACACACAAGTTTTAGAACACATAAAATAGAACAAGCCCCACGTGCTAATAATCTATATAGCACGTGTTCATTAAACTATATTTCATATGCTCATTAGCAAGCATTTCCATTGCAATACATATTAGTTCTATCGCTCTTGGAGAATTTTCTCTCCCATATACCTGTAAACATGGAAAAATTATGTAGTAACTTAGAATCATCAATAAGTAATTGTATATATAATACACTAAATTTGACAAAAAAATAAATAATAAATAAGAGAAAATTGCAAAAAATATTTCACACTAATACTCTATTATCACTTTTATTATGTATTTATCTCGCTGGCAAAATATATCTCACATATTTACAAAAGTCGCTATTTATTTCCTTTGCTCGCGCGTGACATTCACACCACGCGCCGTTACGCGCGGCCAAAGAATAGAAATATCGACTTTTGCAAGCATGTGGGATATATTTTGTCAACAAAATATATGACAAAAGTGATAATAGAGTATACGTGTGAGAAGCAGATGAATTACCTGCCAAGCATCATAATTGTGGCTTGAGGATTAGTTCCCGGAGACTGATCAAACGTGGATGCATCGATAACACGCAAATCATCGACGCCGATGACCCTGTAGTTCCGGTCGACAACCCTACCCACCTGGCACCCTCCATGGTAATTCCACGTCGTCCTAACGGAATCCACACAAAATTCATCGCGGTTGTACAACGACGAAGTGCGCCGAAAGTTCAAGTTGGTGGGATATGCCAATGTCAATGCTTGGTAAGTCATAAATGTCGTTGAAGGGTATCGGAATGATGATAGCGAATTAGACTCCGTAACCCTTTCGATGATCTTAAGGCCTTCGACACAAGTTGCGATATCCCTACGGTCTTTAAAGTAGTTGAATGTCACCCTTTGAGTCCTATCAGGATCTCGATTTTCAAGCTCGATATAGCCCTTCGAGAAAGGCTTCCGAAATGTCTCCAACAATTGTCCCGCTTCAAACGGCGTCGTAAAGTTTACTCCGTCCGGTACCGAGATGTTACTCGGAATTTCGAAAAGAGTCAGTGACTGAAATTTTTTTATACAATCTGATTAATGCTTACGGAAAGTATATTAGTATTATATTAAAATTGGGCGCAGACCTTATTATTGATTCGGGCGATTTCTAGGCCCAACTCCCTAAGCGCGGACAAGTTCAAGGGTAAACTGATCGATTCGAGATAATTGGTAGTATTGGCTATTCCGACAACTTCGAGCAAAGATATTTCCAATTTCCTACGAGAAGGAAATGTAACTTCATTGAAAGGATTGTCGACCATATTTTGGCCCACGAATGGTTGTCTTAATACTATTGGTATTTTCTGGGCCTGAAGCTGTCGGAGCGGCCCAATACCGCTCATCATCAGTAGAGGTGGGCTGCCTAATGTACCAGACGATACAATTACTTCATTGGATGACCCATTGTTTAATATTGCCTCATGTAGGGCACCAGCAGAGTCTTTGAAGACTACTCCAATGGCTCTCGGCTTTACGCCTGCATATATATATATTTTATAAAAACTTTAATATATAAAAGTACTGTATTTCTAGTATTTTATAAGTATACTTATTTTTTATTTTTTTTTTAGACATATAATATTGTATTAATAAAAATAATTATTGTAAAATATTTAATATTATATTTTATTAAAGAAATAAAATAGATGTCCTAGATGCTTTTTGTTTTCCCCTCAAATATTGTTTAAGAAGTGAAGTAAATATGAAGTGTCTGTTATGCATGTAACATTATATTATATAGAAATAAATATAATAAAATTTAAGGATGAGCGTTCGAAATTTCGGTTCAGATTTGAAAAAATTTGAATCTGATTCAAAATTTTGAATGTTTTAACAAAATTAATCTGAACCAATCTGAGATAGTTCAATTTTGAATTAAAAAATTTAAACCAAATCGAAAAATTCGAAATAATTCAAAACTCTAAATTATTTATTATTTTTTTAAAATTTAATTTTATATTTTTATAATTGGCTTATAACATTAAATAAATAAGTGTATTAAAATATAATTAATAATTTAGAGTTTCTTATTTTCATTAAAATATTCAATAAATAATAAAATATATTAAAATATTATATTTCAGATTGGTTCAGATTTTTAGTATACTAATCGGAACCAAAATTCTGAAATTTATAATGTAGTCAATTCGAACCAATCGAAAATCCAACCTAATTTTAAATTTCGATTTGATTCGGATCAGATCTTCGAATTTAAATGTTTTGCTCATTCCTAATAAATTTCTAGTCCAAAAAATTAAAGAGAAAACGCCGTCGATCTTCGAAGGCTATCTACAGGTGTATTACAGTTCCCGTTGCTAAAAATCAATGTTCTATGCAAATTTTATATTAACATTATGTGTGTAAATAGTCTACCCTTAAATAGGGTAATTATTTTGCTGATAAATAAAATTCAATACAATTAACACCTATTGCAAACCTAAAAAGACAATAATCACGTTAATTTACATTAATATAATACAAAAATTAACATATGAATTGGCAATAAATATATATAGACAAAGAATACACCACACAAATATATACAACACACTATATTTAAAAAAAAAAAGTGAGACAAAAATTATGTTAAGGGTGTGTTTGTTTATAGGATTTTAAGAAAACTTTATTATTTATTCATCACAAATTTTTTCTAAACAATATCAAATCTAATACATATTTTTTATTTTTTATATTATATAACTATTTTAATTCAAAATTTTTGCTGTTTAAATCTACACTCAAAATCAGACACATTATAATACAAATAGCACGCGATGGACAACACAATATAGTCTCATACATGAAATTATAGAGACAGATGACACAAAATATAATAAACAAAAAAAGAAAAAACACAAGATAGAATTTTCATCACAACAAATATATCAATTCAAAACACACATCTATATTTTTATTTATTTTTTTTATTTTGAAATAATATCAGCTCGATAGAGTGTTGGGACTCTCTTAGTTTATAAAGATGAAAGACTATTCCATTCAACAGCCAATTGATTTTAAATTGAAATCTCGGATCCTTTATAACTGGATATCGAAGCCATAAATTTCGGGTTTAAGTTTCACCATCCCCGTTTGTTGTCGTGTACGGGCAAATTTGGTATGATGGCGTATATCCTATTTGCATGTGAGGGGTTGTATTGGCTGAATCCTATTTGTAGATAAATAAATAACATGCAATCCTAAATACTTAAATTTGTAGGTGAGACGGTCAGTTAAATACAATAACCCGAAGTCCTTAAATAATTTAGCAATATTCCAACAACTAATTCACAAATTAACCTTACCTGGTCGAAACATGATCCTCTGCACAGTCGAATTCAAATAAACAACAATGTTGTTCGAATTCGCATACTCCAATAAATCAGCTGCACTATGCCTCGTCCCATTCTCATCAAAAATTGTCCCCCCAACTTTCGTCCCGATCAAATGCTCGTACGTAAATCCCCTGTCCGGAACCACCCCGGCCTCCACCAGCCCCCCTCGGAACGCGGACTGCCATTGCCGGACAAGCGGCCGGAAAACTATCTTATCCTCCACCCACCTATACGACGCCTCCACCAGCTGCGGGTCAAGTCCTAACCGACTAATAAACTCCGGCTCGGCGCGCGTGTAAAATCCGCCGTTAACGGCGCTGCCGCCGCCCAAAATCCGCGGCCGGTTGTTGAAAACTCCGTCGGCCGTTATGAACCTCTGCGCCGGGGAGGTCGGCGACAAGTCCGTTACAACCTGTCCGAAACCTTCTATGGTGGTTACCGACGGGTTTCCGTAAGGCTGTCCGCCTCTCTCGACAATCAAGACTTTCGCCGCGGCCGAGAGTGTCGCCGCAAGCGGCACTCCGGCGGTGCCGCCGCCGACAATTATGTAGTCGTAGTACTCTCTCGGCGCCGCCGATGTACCTTCTCTCACGAAAGAATATGGAGCTGCAAATGTAAGATAAACAAAGGAAATGTAACTAATTTTCACGGCGCGAGTGAGTAATAATTATTTTATTAATTGAATTTTTTTTTTTAAAAAAAATTTAATTAGAGTGACAATTGAACAGACCCTTTTCTGCAAAGCCAAAATCAGTAAGGAAGAAAACACCTATTAAAACAGGCACAATAAGAAACCCCATTTTTAAGTTTAGTTATATTTTTTGTAAGCATTTGATCATCTATATATAGAGAGGAAATTTAGCTTCAATAAGTTACGTGTTTGTTTTATTTCTTGTTTTGAGTAATAATAATTTGAAAAGGAAATGTGTATTTCAAATAAGTTTAGTGTTTGTTTTATTTCAGGTTTTGGATATATTATAATTTGAATAGAAATATATATTTGGTTCAATGTTTTTTATATGACAATTAAATATTTAGTGTTATTCTTGAAATAACGTATAGAGTTCCATTTAGATAAGAGTTTAATATTGAAATATTGACACTTTGCGATAATGTTTTAAGTGTGGAATTAGGCAATTTATATGATATTTTTTGAAAAAAGAAGAAGATATTATTGATAAATATTATCAAAATTTTCAAAATATACTATGTAAACAAAAATAAATGAAAAAAAATGCTATTTTTAATTTGAATGCTGTTCAATTTATTGACTAACATTTATGTTATCATTAAAATATACTCCTATTATCTTGATCACAAAATATTATATTCAACACAATGGATAAAATAAATCCTAAAATCGTATACAAAATGAACAAGTATTCTAGGTAATACTTTGAAAAAATATTTATATCTACGATTATATGTAATTAATGCAAATATAGTTGAAAATATAAATAAAAAGAACCTTATAGGGTTTGTTCGGAAGTAAGTTAGGAGTTTGGTTAAGGTTGGAAATAGTTGGCATAATTATTTAACATGATGTTTTCAATAAAAATATTATTGTTGGGATGGAAATAAGTACTACTCCAATAAATCCTCGTACACTTATCCAATTTGGGCCAACTCTCGAAGCGTAGTTATATCACAGTTATAACACCGACTTGTCAATGAAATAAATGAAAGAATTTCAACACAATAAATGACAAGGTATTTGTTTACCTGGTTCGGATATAAACCATCCTACATCCGGGGGATACTAATTCAGGAGATGTCCATTATATTAATAACAAAGCACTCAAACCTCCACCAACCCAAACTACACATTAATTACCTAGGAAATTTCCTCCACAGGCATAAGTTGTTACAAACGCGTACTAACAACTGACATATAGCAGGGCTGCACAGAGTTCGAATGTTCTCCGGATTGCAACTCCGATCTTCCTTCAATCTCCAAGTTTCTCCGGCAGGAATACAGTGTAAAACACTCACTTAGTACATGGAGGTGGAAGGGAAATGGTTGAAAGGATAAACACAATAATTCTCTTACTACCCAATCTCTCAAAATCACTCTCACACCACTTCCCACAAATCTCTAAGCAATGTAAAACACAACCACATCAGCCATGAAATGACATGAATTAAATTCTCTTTGATCCAACCAATGAATGATGTTGTATCAAATCAGTTCTGATCACAAAAGGACAAATTCGAGATGTCCATTTTGCCTTTGAGCAGCCACCAAACTTGAAGCGACATAAGGACTGCATGATTGGACTTAACCAGCAAGTTCAGAGTTGTTGTTTTTGAAAGCCAACGACCACAGAAGCATAAAGTGGTTTTGTCACTGTGCCAAAAATAGATGTTTAGGTTTGAGATTAAGTTAACAATTATATTTATATATGTATTATAGCATAAATGAAAATAAAAATTGATTTACTTTTGTTAAGACCGGAAGTGTAACAATTATAGCAATGATAGGTCCAAATGGCCCAATCGTGATTTTTTTTTACCCTTTCGACGAGCTATGGTAGTGACACTGAGATAATAGAGCAACTAAATTGTAATGATATAATCACGAATGGCTATAATCATCATCGTCATAATCTGCCCAGTTGAATTCGCTGAAGTTTGGCCACGGATAGCCATATATAATTCGATATTGGAATCGAATTATCATACGAATAACATTGTCGATTTATTGTTGGAGTAATTTGTCTGACTGAAAATAATCATATTTGGGTGTTGAATTTAGGAAGTTAATATTAGAATATGAATCGTAGAACATCTACGAAAAGTATTTGAACATTGAAAAAAAATATAAAGATAATCATTTGTATTGTAAAATAACAAAAAAAAAAAAAAACTATATATGAGATTACCAAAATATCTAATTTCTGTAGATCTCTTTTTTATATATCGTTGTCTTAAAAAATTATTTTATTTATTTATTTATTCGGATTAGTGTGGATGTAAATTTGAAGTTGGTAATAATAAAATTTAAAATACAAATTAGTCTGTATACTTGCATTTTGGTGTAAAAGTAATTATTTGACAGTAAGGTAAGGGTATTTGTAGGGAAAAAAAAAAAGTAAAGTATTTTTTAAATAATTATTTTGTAATTGAATATACTAAAATAGAAATATATATATTTTGGTAGTGGTCGGATGAAGTAATAATTGGTAGATAATAATTAAAATAAAAAATTTAATGATATTTTATTAAATTATTGATACCCTTAACTTTTATTATTTAGTTGATTGGAAATTTAGAAATTGAGTTAGAATTTTGAATAATAAAAATTAAAATGAATATAATATAAATAGATATTTATATGATATTTTGAATTCTAAATAAAATTTTAATATAATATAAAAAATTAATGTTTGATTTGATATTTTATAGTTGAAAAATTAGTTAACAGTGAGATTTCAATATAAATTTTATTTGTATGTTTCACAAAAATAAAAAATAATTCATTTATCGCTATTAACAACTAAGAGTGGAAAATATCAAATTGCTCAAATAAAGCATATATCATATGAAAAAATAACAAAAATATAAAAAATTATTGTATATCGTAAATTTTGATGTAGTATGATATGATATCGAACTTTTTCAGTACGGTAATTGTATATACTTTTAGTATTTTTGGTATTATATACCCAAAGTATCATATAGAATTTTGATATTTTAGTATTCCATGTATTAATATATATATATCTTTATAATTCAGTATATTGATTCTAAAAGTATTAATTTTCTAATATATTCTTTAAATTATACAGTATTATTTTACTTTCGATATTTTGATGTAAAATATTATATTTTGATACCGTACATGCAATTCAATTAGAGATGGTTCTATACAGTATATCAAGACATGTTAAGAAAATATATCGATGCCGTTCCAAAAATTTAATATATACGAAATACCTAAATTTTTTTATTTAATTTCGATATATATTGAAAAGGTCAAACGGCAGGAAACTTTGTAAAAAATAACCTTTCTATATCAAATTATCATTTTTTTTCTTTAATTTATGTTGTTAAAAAAATATATCTCACACATTTACAAAAGTCATCATTTATGTCATCCGGTTGCGCGTGGAATAACCGTCGTGTGAACATGATGCTTGGGTGTAAGACAGAAATGACAATTTTGCAAACGATATATTTTGTCAGCGAAATAAATATATGATAGTTATAATTGAGTATATGTGGATGATATTTTTTCTTTTTGCAATTTTCTCTCAATTGTATATTGTTATTGTACCAAAATTTTCGATACACCGAGATTGTTATTATACCAAAATTTTGTATTTTCGGTATTTTTTTGTTCGGTACATGCTTATTTTAGTAATTCGATATTTTTTTCATCAATAGATTCGGTATACCAAATTATTAGTACAATATCTTAGTACGGTAGAATACCATACAAAAAAAATTGGTATGTTATACGATATGCGATATAAATTTTGGTATGCAATATGAAATCATCCCTACCAACAATCAAATTCGAAAAATTTTGATTTATTGTTTATATTAAGAATTTTATTATTACAATTGTTAATTGTATGTAAATTATTAAAGCTATTTTTTTTTTAATCTAATTGCATTTATTTATTTTAAATTAACATAATAATTTTTTTATAAAATAATTTCAATAAATGAAATGTTAAATATTAAAAATTAGAATAAAAAATATTTTAACTTTTATTTCAATTTTTCATCGAATAAAATTATTTATAATAACACTTTAGTACAAGTATTACATCAACTAATATAATATATATATATATATATATATATATATAAAAACCTTCCTTTTGAGAGAAAATAAGAGAAAGAGCTTATCTCTGCCCTTCTTCAGCTGTAAAAATCCAACATCTCATTAGAGTTATTTTTTGGTCAAGTTTTGCTTGGGAGATTAGGGTGTATTTTATGGGATATTTCGGGAATAAAAAGCTGTGTGTTGATATATTTTGAATTATGATTTAAATATTATATATTATATTCTACATTTAGATATATTATTTGAATATTACTGAAATAGGTTTTCAATATGCATGTATTTCTATTCTAACAAGTGGCCAGACGACTTGGCCCTATAATATGTAATCTAGCCGTCCTTAATAAATTTGTTCTTCATTTTTGTCTGTGGATGTAGCCAACATGTCATTGGTAAATCACGTAAATATGTGTTTCTTTTACATTTTTTATTTGTTATTCGATCATTAAACATAATCAGTATTCATCCTCTAAAACACATATTGAAAAAGAAGCCAAAATCCCTTGCATTTTGAGTGAGAGTTTTGCCTTCAAAGTGAGAAGTTAACTTTATATTTTTGAAGGGACTTTTGTGAGGAAAACTCATGGTTTGATTATCACAATCTCCAGTAGATTTTTTGTTTTATTTAGATTTATACGGATTTCTTGCAAGTGAAATTTGAAGGACCATTAAAGTTTCTAGAGGAAGCTTCGAATTGATTGTTTAAACTTTGTTTCGATCCTATTTAAGGAGAAGAAGATTTTCACGAAGGTAAAAAAGTTTGCTGCCATTGAAATATACAAGAATTAGAATAATAGGGTTCAGGTTAGAGTTGTTAAATGAGTCGAGCGAGCTCGAGTATCTATTATTCGATTTCGACTCGAACTTGTTAATATTATAGGATCAGATCGGCTTGATAAAAATTTGAGCTAAAATAGTCGCTTAAGGTCCGCTCGTTAAGTTCAAATTCAAGCTCGACCTCGGCTCGTAAAGCTGGAACTGAAGCTTGAGTTCAAGTATGACTTCAATTTTATACATATTCTATATATTTTTTACTATATCAA